ATATATATATATATATACACACACACACACACACACATATATATATATATATACACACACACACACATATATATATATATACACACACACACACACACTATATATATATATATATACACACACACACACACACACATATATATATATATATCAAAGTTGCTGTGACTATTTTTTTTTATTAAAATGTGTGAAAGACACGTTTGGGTCAAGATTTATGATACGGTTCACACCCAGGCAAAATATTTCAAGATCCAGACCCAGGCAAAAAATGTAATAGCAAAACTAATCATTTTACTTGTTTAATTAAAGAATTACTATAAACAATGTCCCTTCGCTGACGTAACAATGCTACAAGATTAGAGAATAGGTTCTTCTTTTCCTTATTTCATGGAGGAGGGAAGCCACTGAGTTTATCATAATGAAACCACAATCACAGTTCCTTACATTTTTGAAGACTCATAGATTAGATTAATGCTGGAGGAAGAACCTTTTTAACTGAAATCCTTCTTGTCAGACTAACCCTGAATTGCAGGTCATTGTTCGTTTTGTAGAATTTCCTCTGGCTATATGAACAGAAAACAAAGTAAAAGATGTGCATTGTAATTCTTACATCTGGATAAACACATCTCTGTGTCATCAAGGACAGTTGCAGAGTACAGTGTCTGGATCTAAACACACATCTCTACGTCATCAAGGACAGTTGCAGAGTACAGTGTCTGGACCTAAACACACATCTCTACGTCATCAAGGACAGTTGGAGAGTACAGTGTCTGGATCTAAACACACATCTCTACGTCATCAAGGACAGTTGCAGAGTACAGTGTCTGGATCTAAACACACATCTCTACGTCATCAAGGACAGTTGCAGAGTACAGTGTCTGGATCTAAACACACATCTCTACGTCATCAAGGACAGTTGCAGAGTACCGTGTCTGGATCTAAGCACACATCTCTACATCATCAAGGACAGTTGCAGAGTACCGTGTCTGGATCTAAGCACACATCTCTACGTCATCAAGGACAGTTGAAGAGTACAGTGTCTGGATCTAAACACACATCTCTTATGTCATCAAGGACAGTTGCACAGTACAGTGTTTGGATCTAAACACACATCTCTACATCATCAAGGACAGTTGCAGAGTACAGTGTCTGGATCTAAACACATCTCTATGTCGTCAAGGACAGTTGCAGAGTACAGTGTCTGGTAATAATACAGATGGCACAGCTTCATTCCAAGAGGGGTATGGCAGAAGAACTGCATGTTTACGAGTTTTAGTTTTGCTCCCCCTGAGGGGCAGAAGAACTGCATGTTTAGAAGTTTTAGTTATGTCACTGCACACACTTTATATTATCATCATTTTGTCTACTTTACATTACTCTTACTGCCATTTTGATCAGACAGCACAAAGGATGTTGTGTCAAGATGTAGCAAGTGTTTGTTAATAACAAAGATACACAATAAGCTATCTGTGCTGTGTCTAAACGGATATCAAACCTATACTTACTACAGGTAGCGTATGTAAATGAATATCAAAACCTATACTTACTACAGGTAGCAAGTGTTTGTTTCTAGTTAAAAACAAAGATACACAATAAGCTATCTGTGCTGTATGTAAACGGATATCAAAACCTATACTTACTACATGTAGTAAGTGTTTGTTTCTAGTTAGAAACAAAGATACACAATAAGCTATCTGTGCTGTATGTAAATGGATATCAACACCTATACTTACTACAGGTAGCAAGTGTTTGTTTCTAGTTGAAAACAATAATACACAATAAGCTATCTGTGCTGTATGTAAATGGATATCAACACCTATACTTAATACAGGTAGCAAGTGTTTGTTTCTAAAGATACACAATAAGATATCTGTGCTGTATGTAAATGGATATCAAAACCTATACTTACTACAGGTAGCAAGTGTTTGTTTCTAGTTAAAAACAAAGATACACAATAAGA